GCATTCCATGGAATAAATATGTCACCATGTAGTCTCCAATTTGTTGTTGAAGGACACTGAGTTTTTTGCATGTTGTGATTGGGTTTCTTTCATGATATCTGTGTACTAACTGAGATTCATTTTGTTGTATTATCCATGTAGCTAGAGTGTAAAAATTAATCAATTCATTTTGTGTGCTATGACCTCCCTCCAGTGTTTTCTAGCACCGACATGGGATAGGGTGCCAAATCACTGCCATTTGGTCCTGGTGCCTTGTTAAGATTTAAGTTTCATTTTCCTTGCATTTGTTTCTACAAGTTTCTGTTTCCTGCAAATTTAACCATTGCGACACACATCCTACCCCTTGCCTTCTAGAAAAAGATGATCATTTATATCATTTTCTCCACCCCAAATGGAAAGCCCCATATGATTTTTTTTATGTTTTAAGCCAATAAGAAAACACAATTGCATTTCTTTTCCCAGGACTACATAGGTACAGAGTGCACCACCCTCCTGCTCCTGGGTCAATGACTGTTCCCTGCTGGATGCTGACTGCTGGCTGATGAATTTGCTTGTCTCTGCACTTGGCTCCCCTGGGTGACCAACTGAGGTGAAGGCACTTGCCACAGCAGTCCATTCAAGTACGTGGTTATGTCAGTTTGGTATACAGTCACTCAGTGACACCACATGAGTATTGTCCTCATCCTTAATGATATTCATATATGGGACCAGCTGAAATTTTATTTGCAGATATTTTCTAATTTTTATATTACACATCAACAGTTGTTCTATTGATAGCTTTATTTATTTCTGTATTAATTAAGATTGTACATATTAGATTACAATGTATATTCTCCAAGAATACCAAATACTGCTATAGTTTACATATACAGTTTTACTCCTGAAAAATCAAATCAATAGTAGCTGGGTTTCATGTATGTAAACATAACACAGTGGAAGGGTAAACTGAGGCACAGTTGAGACTGCTAAGGCAGGCAGCATTTAAGCAACATGTGAGGACTTTACTGAAAATAGGTATGGCCAGACCAAGGGTGCAAAGATCACTGACTCCAAGTGAGGAGCAATAGTAAGTTGTATAGGGGAGATTAGGCAAGGTAGGAGGGAATGGTTGAGGGGAGGGCAGAATTTTGGACCTTTGCGTAGGAGGTCTAGAGCTTTCTGACAGATGTGGAGGTGTTTGTTATGGGGATACTGGCAAGCACAGCATGTCTCCTGTGATTCTGTGCAGAATCTGCTCTCTGCAACTTGAGCTGTGTGTGGCAGCTGATGGCTTCCTGTTGAATGCTGAGCTCCTTCAGGGGAGAAGAACAGATCTATTTGGGGAGTTGTTCTTTTGTAGGTGTGTGTGGGTTTAGTTCAGAGACATGACATTCCTGTCTGCTGAGTTACAGCAAAAGAAGAGAGGAGGAGGTGTAGTTTCTCAGGACTTCTTAAAGCAGGACTAGAGGATTATGTGGGCATCAGAGAAATCTGAGACAGGAATAAATGAAGGGGTAGAGGGGCTAGGCTGGTGGTGATTTTATCAGACCGAGGCAAGGTGACAGAATTCTAGGAGTGTGAGAATCTTTGGTTCTGGCTATAGTCAGCTGGAGAATCCTCTGGGATAGCCACGTCGTGGGCCATCAGATAGAGCTGTCTGGATTTTGTCAATTGGATCCATCCTTGTGTGAAATTTGTTGAGTCTTACTATGCAAAGTCCAAGCAGAAAGAGCAGAAAGACTGAGAGACTATGGTCCCAAGTATGTGGGGAAGCAGGATGTCCAGCCAGTTTGGAAGAAGACTCATAGCTGAGCCATGCTGAAGCCACCCTTGCCTGTTCTTTGAGCCTGGTGGCTTGATCCTAGAGACTCTTGACTTTCTGATGAACAAATCACAAGCTGTTAACAGAAACAGTATTCATCTCTGAGGAAGATGGAGGTGCCTCCTTTCACTGTAGTGAGCAGATCCTGGGTGTGCATGGTGGTTCTCGAGTGCCATCCCAGCCAGTTGTAGTTCTTTCTGTAAAGTAAGGGTAGAATTAGAAATTTTTCCAAAATCCTCTGACATTTTTTTTTCTGTGAGGTCCTGGCCAGCTGTGGTGGAGACAGCCACCCCTACAACTCCTGTCCCCATATCTGTGAAGATTCCAAGATCTGTTAGTCGGGCTGAGTGTTGGGCCTTGTAGGCATTGTCTGAGAGGGGTCAGTGCAGCTATCAGGAGCTCTGGGTGCCAAGGGACTATATCTATTTTGAGGGCCAGGAATATTAGGGTACATGTTTCAGTCAATTTTATGGGCAGACAGAGATAAGAGGAGGTTGATCACAGCCAGAAGACCCAGGATGTGTTTAATCAGAAAATAGCATGCATCAGTTGATTTTTTAGCTTAGAACCTTCTTTTATCATTGTCCTATGCTGGAGATGAGTATGGCCCTTGCATAAAAGGTGGAGCAGATCCTGAATGGTCCTTTCGGGTGGCACCTGGTATTTTATCCTGCCACTAAAATGGAATGTTATCCAGTCCACAAGAAGCTATTGGGTGTTCTTTGGCAGGCATTATCAGGCATTGGATAGAGATGGTGTCCCTCTTTGGGGCGTTTGGCCAGGGAAGGTGAGTCAGGTGCTGGATGAGAATACAGCAGAAATTTGAGATAGGGAAGTTGATTCGGTGATCATTGGGAAATTTTGATTCATGATTTTGTTTCTGGGCTTGGTATTCTTGACAGTCTGAATCAAGCTGAGTCGAATGCTGTGTTCTTGTAGTCTCAGGGAAAGTGTTGGTTGACAGTTAAGTTGAATTAAGAGGAGGTCAAGTGTCCTTCAGACACTCCTCAGGAGCTCCTGTAGAGGTATTGGGTGACCTATGAAAAAATTTTTATGCCTGCAGCTATTGGTCTTGTGATATGGAGGCATTTTTGTGTACTGGGGTTCTTAAGCATGGTTTTGCTTTGAGTGGTTCAGTAGAAAACAGGCCAGGTGTATAGTATCTCTGAGGTAGGAGGGTAGCTCTGGGGGATTGTCTGGGCCTAGGGCTTCTTTTGGAGTTCAGGCATTTTGGGCAGGGTGGGTGTGTATTCTGGGGCTGGGGATAGAAAAGACATAGCAAGGTGATGAGGAGCCTGATCAGCAGGAGGAAGGTGATGGTGAGAAGACTCCTTCTGGCAAGACCTGGCTCATTTGAAAACATGGGGAGGGTGGGTGGTGCAGTGTTTGACTGATAGATAGTTCCTGAGAGCACACAAGGGAAAGAGCAGCAGTCCCACACACAAAAGGAGGATAACTGTTAGAAGGCACCTCTTAGCGTGGTTCCAGTCACTTAGGACTACTGAAAGCAGTCTGACAGCAAATATGAGGACTGGAGTTATGAATGTGTGAGTAGGAACTGGTCATGGCAATACATGGGGACCCTCGGCATTTGGAAAAGTTAGGCAGAGAATGAATGGGAAAGTGAAAAAGTGGATTTCTTCCATGGGAAAGACATGAAAATTTCCTTCAACGGTGAGATCCTCAATTCAAGAGACAAAGGATCACAAGGAGCCAGATCAGGGCTTAACCAGGGGAAAGTATAATAGATTTTTTGCAAAAATAATGAATCTAGGAGTAAGGTAAGGTTTTGACACTGGGCATTGTTGAAGGATGTGGGTTAGATGTATGAGGAGGTAGTAAGCAGCCCAAGAGTGAGAAGATAGGTGAAAGGTTTGAGATCTTTGGTGCAAAGGAGGACTAGGAGGAGGGGAAACAGACAGACTTTGTAGTACAAAGTGAGTGGCAGAGTATGTCCTCAGATAATAAACTCTGGACCCAATGGAGAATCCACGCAGGAGTATGGGTCTGAGGGTGAGGGAAAAAGAGGCTTATTATCCAGTGTAAGATAGGTTCCAGCAAGTGAGCCTGGGGAACTTGAGCAGAGATCTGCCTTAGGGAACTGATGAAATGCGAGGTCAGAAAAGGCCCCAGAACCTCAGGAATGGAGGTGAAAAACAAGGAGGTGAGGGAGAGTGCTTGCATTTTCCAGTGAGAATCTTTGGCAGCCAGTGAGGTCTTCGCAGAGGTGGGTAAGCAGGATCTGGGAGTGAAGTTTTAGAGGAGAGCAAAGAACCCCTTTGGGTGGTTCCTATAGGTGGGCTGCCATTGGAGTGCTATAGATGATGTGGGGGGGGGCTGTCCATTTGGATTTGAAGGGTTGAGAGTGTGGAGTTTTTACCACTCATCTGCTAGCAAGGTCCACCTCCTACATCTGGATGTTGGAAGAAGCTAAGATGAAACTTGCTGTTTTTTGGATCCATTTCCTGGGTAGTTGCAGGGAGCAAAGGTAGAGACCTAGGCAGTTAGTTTCAGGGATGCTGTAAGGAAGGATCCAGAAGAAAGGAGAGGCCATACAGAAGTTCAAAGGGGCTGTAGCCTGTGGGTTTGCTTTCCTTAGTCTGATGACAGCCTTAGGGAGGGGAGATGTTTAGTTGTAGTAAGAATTTTGTGAGTTGCGCCTTAATTAGGTTATTTTATCCTTTCTGGGCAACAGGTTCTGTGGGAGTGTGGAGTTTCCAGTCTACACTGAGAGGCTGCGCGACCTCTAACATTATTTGAGCTATTGAAGCCAGCCCATTGTCTGGTGGGATTGAGATAGGCAGAACAAACTGTGGGACAATATTTGACTGGAGGTACTGTATGACTGCCTCAGTATTTTCAAAGGTAATAGAGAATCCCTCAGTCCATCTTGTGAAGGTGTCTAGCCGGACTAGGAGATAGGTGAATTTTTTTACTCAAGTCACTTGGGTAAAGTCAATTTACAATCCTGGGTAGGAGAAATCCATGAGTTTGGTAGTAATGGGGATGGAGAAAGCCCTGGGAGAGTCAGCATAGCACACTGCTCAGTATGTGGTGAACCTTCTCTGTGTGGTCTTTCAGGATGGGGCTGACATGAGAGGGTGAAGTGAGCAAGTAAGAAGTTTGCAACCCACATGCAAGCGATCATGGAGGGAGGAGAGTATCTGATGAGTCACAGAGACCAGAAGGAAATACTTTCCTTGGTCAAGGAACCATCTTTGGTCAGTTGGGAGTGTCTGGTACTGGGAGTGTTCTGGGAAATAGATGAGGGTGGTGCCTATCAGGGAGAGGTATTCCCTCTTGGAGAGCAGGCAGATTGCTGGAGGAGGTAACAGCCTCCTTGGCTGTCTGCTTTGGGAAAGTTTCCCTATGATAAAAGATATGTATGTTTTTGATGTTTCTTATAGTGTGTAATTCCTTCATCCAGGAGTGTCATTTTGAGGTGGGAATTGGTGATGGAGGATCCCCTGGTCATAAGCAATTCTCTTTTAGACCAATTGATGTATGGTTGTGAAGAATGTGAAAAGTGTATTTTGAGTTCATGTAGATGTTAGCTCTTCCTTTTTCCAGGGTTGGGTTGAGGTCAGAGCTGTGAGATCAGCCTGTTGTGAGGTGCTGTATTTGTGGGTGAGAGCTTGGGCCTCAAATACCATGTGATTTGAAACTATTGTATATTCTGCTCAACCACAGAAACATTTGAGGTTTGGCAAGATCTGCATCTATCAACCAGGGGCATCAGTTCTATACAGGAAGAAACAACCCGGTATATAATTGTTAAGGGGGAGATGTTCATGCCCCCAAGCCTGGTGTGTCCTCTCT